TATTTTTTCGTGTTGAATAATCAAGCGATTCAGCACCAAGTTTTTTAGCATTTCGAACTAACTTTTTAAACTCTTTTCCACTAACAAGATATTTTTCATCTGGAACATAATCTGGATCCACATCATGTCTATAACCATCATCAACTATAAAATCCAAATCCTCTTTTGTAGGAGTAGTTTCTCTTGATCTTGGTTCCATTTTTATTATTTTGATTATATTATTTTCGTATGTAAATTTTCCCTTTACACTCAACTCAGCAAATGGGAATTTCCCTAATTTTTTTGAAATCATCAATTATTAATAGACTTTAAATTATCATACCATTCATCTGTTTTTGTAATTGGAATAGGAATATCTAAAAACTCATATTCTTCTTCATCTTCAAAAACAATTTTTTCTAAATATAAACTTCTATTTCCTTTTTCATCCCAACCTTCACCACAAAAAGCGTAATCATATACTAAACAATCAAGAACTTTTTCTATACGTTTTATATCAATCTTTTCTTTATCAATATATTTTGTAATAGTATTACAGAAAATTTGGCCTATAAAAGAAAAAAATGTACGTATTTCATCAAATTCCTCACAATCCTCATAATGATCCATTATTAAATATTTAAACAAATTGAATAAAGTCTACTAAAACCTTTCAAGATTCTTTCTCTTTCTAAATTATTAGTTTCTTTTGCCTCCTTAATTTTTTTAGCTAAATCTACTACAATGTCGTATTCAAACATTCTAATGTATAATTTTATAATTTTTAAAACGTAAAATTCTTGTAACAAAAATTGTTAAAAGAATTAAATATCACTATCACTATCTCTATCGTAATAACATCTAACTCTAACTTCACATTTAAATTTAAACTTACTAAAGAATATTTTAAATACTTCATAAATACTATCCATACCAGGATAAGGATTAATATAATATCCTTCATCATAAAAATCCTTTAAACAATTAATATACTGACAAAAATTATTAAAATTTTTATCAATCTGAATTAAGTTATCAACATCATCTCTTTCAAGTACAAAATTGCTTGTATCTTGAAGACGACCTCTTTCTTGAGCTAACAAGAATCTTTTAATAAACTTTTTGATTCTAGCAACTCTAAGATTTTGAAATAACCCACGAGTTGCTTCATCTATATTATCAACAAAATATTTTAATTCTTTATTAATACCTCTTATGAAGAGATATTCTTTTTTGAATTCTAGCGCATATTTAGGAATTTTATTTGAAAAAAATGAGTGCTCCGCAAACCCCATTTCTATAACTACTTAAGAAATCCGTTATCCTAAGACGGTACGTACCTCAACATGAATTTTCAAAAAACACTCATATTAGAACAACTGTTAACTTGGTTTCTTTATTTAACTTCTTGTAACTTCTAGAACTGAAAAAAGACAGCTTCTTAATATTATTTTCCACACGGGAGAATCTGCGATACTTTAAATTCAAGCAAGATAAGCAAATCACAATTTGCATCAATACATTACACTAGGTTTCGTTATTTTCTCTGTTTATTTGAACGAGAGAGAATAAGCTCTTTTGTTTGAAACTAAACGATTTAAGCAAAGCATTTTTTCCTTCTTCTGTGGTGTTCTCGCCTAGTGAAACTGCTGTGATAATCGTATCTCGATCATGTTTGATGAGAGTAACGGTAGTAGCTTACATTCTTTCGTCTCTATAATCCTTTGAAAAGTGTTCTTTTATGTACTAAAATACTCTAGTTCAGATCTCTTCCACGACCAGTGCCTCAAAGTGCTACACAGATTAGCTTTAGATGTTCTAGTTTCGCGAGAACACATCACCGAAAAACAACTTAACTCGATTCCTTAAACAGTCATTGAAAATTCCAAAAAAATAACAATCAAGATATAAAAAAACTCAGCATGTTTTGCACCCACCAATATTTTAGAAATCGTAACTCATTAAGCAAACTATGAATCGTCGACCCACAGCAAAGAAGAAATAGCACTTTGTCATCCTGTCTTATTGGGGTATATAAACTACTCAAAAAACATTGTCATAACGAAGATATTATACCCGCCACTATTTCGTTCTCAAATACAATTGGTCGGGACTTTAAAAACGACTATACGCTGCCATGCACAAGATTCAAATATGGTAATTTTCGATCCTTCCGAATGATCTCGACCAAATATTGATTGGCCATGCCCTGTTATGCATTTTTGTGTTACACCCAAAATAGTACTTCATGTTATGCGTCACAACACCCAAACTGAAGCGACAGTAAAACCCATTACGTCATAACGCATATCATGTGAAGTACTTATAAAAATAGTCACCTTTATGTCATACGCCATGTCATTAAAAGTGANTCTTGAGCTAACAAGAATCTTTTAATAAACTTTTTGATTCTAGCAACTCTAAGATTTTGAAATAACCCACGAGTTGCTTCATCTATATTATCAACAAAATATTTTAATTCTTTATTAATACCTCTTATGAAGAGATATTCTTTTTTGAATTCTAGCGCATATTTAGGAATTTTATTTGAAAAAAATGAGTGCTCCGCAAACCCCATTTCTATAACTACTTAAGAAATCCGTTATCCTAAGACGGTACGTACCTCAACATGAATTTTCAAAAAACACTCATATTAGAACAACTGTTAACTTGGTTTCTTTATTTAACTTCTTGTAACTTCTAGAACTGAAAAAAGACAGCTTCTTAATATTGTTTTCCACACGGGAGAATCTGCGATACTTTAAATTCAAGCAAGATAAGCAAATCACAATTTGCATCAATACATTACACTAGGTTTCGTTATTTTCTCTGTTTATTTGAACGAGAGAGAATAAGCTCTTTTGTTTGAAACTAAACGATTTAAGCAAAGCATTTTTTCCTTCTTCTGTGGTGTTCTCGCCTAGTGAAACTGCTGTGATAATCGTATCTCGATCATGTTTGATGAGAGTAACGGTAGTAGCTTACATTCTTTCGTCTCTATAATCCTTTGAAAAGTGTTCTTTTATGTACTAAAATACTCTAGTTCAGATCTCTTCCACGACCAGTGCCTCAAAGTGCTA